TTTATAAAAACCTTAAGTTTCTCTTAATAATATTTTCAGAGGATTACAGAAGTGTAAAATTACAGAAGTGAACATTACCAGTCTCTATAAAAACTAGGAAGCTGCAAGAACACTTTCTCTGTGCGAGGAATATGAAGTGATTCGGAAACTCTCATCAATTGTGCAGTGGGTTAGGTCCCTGAGGCACAGTTCTTCCTGAAACTCCATAAATGGAGCTTTTACCATCAAGAATCTGAGATGGTGATATCTTGGAGTAGTAGCCTGTAGAAGAAAAAGAATCTCCACTTCTCCATCTGTTTTCTTCCTTCTCAGTGATTATCCTGCTGTTGCTGAAACCAGTTAAAACTGTAGAAATTATAAGTATCAGAATGAACGATGCAAGGGGTGCTAGAGAGAGGAGCTTAGAGACCATATTGCTTAATAAAGAACAGAGATTAAGAGAACTATCATACAAATAGCAGGAAGCTTAGGAAAGGAAGAGAAGAGTTTGCTAAGAATGTGGGCAGGTAGGAAGTGTATTAATATGAGCAGTCCTGGTATGTGCCAGTTGTAGTTATGGTTGGAATGAAAGAAGGCCAAGCTTCACACTACATCTAACATGTCAGAAATCATTGGAAGGTTATAAAAGACATAAATGTTATGTGGTTCGGAGATTAATCCTAAGGGCATCTCCAGCCGAACTCCAAAAGCTTGAATGACGTCGCTCGCGAGCTCAGCCGAACTGTCAAACTTCCGTTATTTGGTTACGGGTGAACAGTGGGACGCCAATATTGGCGTTGCACTGTTCATCTTCGTTATTTTTCTGTCTCTACCGAACTTGCCGAAGAAACACGCGAAAGAAAGAAAACCATTATCTTCACAAAGTGGGCAAAATGGAGTTCGATTGGAGATGAATCACGACATTTTTTAGTTTCACGGCCTTTTGGAGTGAATAATGAGATTTTCGGTTGAAGATGGTCTAAGGGTTCTTTGTTCTTTTAGGGAGGATTATTAATCATTGGAGGAGTTGGAATAGTCAATCACGAACAGGAATGTGGAAGTTGATGTGATGAAGTGAATGCAATAGTTCTTCATTGTCCATTAGTCATACCTTGTGATTGAATGATCATTGAACACTGTACACTTTATAATTAAAACTCGCTATTAGCAAGCTTACAAGATGTCTTGCCAGCAAAATACTAATATTTGTCAGGTCATGAAATTTCCTTGACAAAATTAATCAGCAATATTCTATATATCTTTGCATGATTGCGTAAAAATGACCACAAAAAGAAGGGCCACACAGCATAGTTTACCTAAAGGCAATAGAGTTTAGAAAGAGGGCCATTCGGGGAATAGAATAGATTTCCTTCCCCGCCATCACCCTGTTATCAAGTAATTTCTATTTTTGGGGAGTATATGGTCATTTATACAGAAAAAAAGGGCTTTCATTTAGCTAAAAATAGTATCAATTTCTGAGTCACTATTATCAAATAAGGAATAGAGAAATTATTATGTGGTGAGTTCGGACGGGAGAACCGTTCAGATTCTGTGAGAGTACACGATAAATAAACAGTTTTATTTTTTGATGTGTATCTACTGTGTACCCTCACAAAATTCAGACACTTCTCCCGTCCGAATTCATCACATAATAATGTCTCTAAGGAATATCTTTCAGTCCCATAGCAAAACAATTCATTCATTATTTCTTTATTTTGAAGAGTAATGCCATAAAGTTCATATCTTCTCTTCTGTTATGTCATTGACATTGATTTCTCATATCAAAATGACAAATTTTAGACTATAAAGCAATCACCAAAATTGTTTAATGAACCATCAAATTAACTTGCTATATCAGTGGACTCATATATAGCTGCACAATAATGAACTGATTCAAGCTTCCTACCACAAGCATGCTTAGCCTGAGGTGATGGAATAGACATCTAACAGCGACACAGGGTGGGAAAAAGCCATCTACTTCATAATTCAATTATTTCAATATAGGAAAAAATTATCTCAAAATAGCCTCATATAATTTATATCAAAATAAAATTAATAATATTTAAATTCATCCCATTACCAAATTGTATATAAGAATAGCTTGGCAGATTTTTTTTTTTTTTCAATATGTGGCCTTTAATTTATCCTTTTAATACCAAAGGGTAAACTTCTAATTTCTTAGAGAATTTCAATGTGCTTAGTGAGTTGTAATCCATATTGATTTCTAATTATGCCCAACTAAATGGTGTTATTCGGGAGGGCAAATCAAATGGTCTCTCTTTTCAAAGTTTCTCAACATCATCAAATATCTTGCACTATGATCCTGTTCAACTACATGAAGTTGTTGTGAGAGTTACCTATTCATGACCATTGCTAAACAAATGATTAAAGGAATTAAAGACCCATATAAATAAAAAAATTTATATGAATCACTTAATCATAGCCTAAACAAATGGGAGACTGATGTTTGATCTCAATATACCAATGATCAAATCTACTTTAAGACGAAAAATGTAAACATATTAATGAGAGACAGCCGCTCGGTAATGCTAAACTTACATAATTTTAAATAATCCAAAGTAAATTTTAATGCTAAAATCCTATTCTTTCTAGTACCTTAATAGATATAATTAGGGTTCACTAAAGTAAAATCACCAATTACCGGCGGTCAAAGAACCGCTGGAATTACCGGCGATTAAACCGACCGTGAGACCGCCAATTTTAACCGGCAGTTTTTAATAATAAACCAACGGAAATGACGACGGTAAAATAGCCACCGGATAGACCATCAGTTTTTTGTTTGGGCGTTGCATATTACCGGCGGTTTGGCTGATGGTGTTAAGTGATTTTTGTCCGGCGGTCCAAACTGCCGGATAAACACCGAAAATTGACCTAAAATTGGCCAAACATGCCCTTCCTCCTCATTTCTTCACGTTTTTGTTTTTCGTCCAGATGCCTCTCGTACTCGCCTCTTACTACATCCGCAGGACTCCACCCCAGAAACCTCTTGGCCCGCATTTGATTGGGCCTCACTTAAGAGGCGCTGCCGCTCGAGGGGAATCAAGCACGGGTTGGGGGTTCCCAACAATATAGTTATCAAGTATTTATCAAGTGTGTTCAAACTCGTTTGTTTACCCTTATCAAACAAACATGAACCCTTATCGAGCCGTGCCATGAGCAATTCGTCGAATGTTCTGTTCATTTGCAGCCCTATGCCACAATGCCTTCTTTGCAAAACCTCCATATCATATCGGACCTTGATTCCCACCTCATAATTGAATACATTAATCTATATCTATTACATATAACAATTAAAAAATTGATAAATCTCACTTGTTAACAGGACTTGGTGAGCAATGACTTTTGAGAATCAGCAAAATATAAAACCTTCAGAGCAGAAAATCTGTTCCTGAACAAATAATGGGACCACATATCTCATAAGGAAAGTTAACAATTAACTGTAAGACTCATCAATACTGCTGGATCAAAGTCAGCAATTATATCAAGGAAACTATGTGAGATGGTGTTCTATTAAAATCAACATGACAAAAAAATACATTGTGGCATCACTTCAAATATAGTTTGCATTGCAAAAGGACAAGTTATATGGTCCAAATTAATGTACTGAATAATTATTTTAAATAAGGTAATAGAAGTGTCATAGAGCAGCACTCAAGTACAAATGTGCTTTCCATTGAAAATAAGCTGAAAGAGAAAAATAACAAAGAAGATGATGCTGTTGTATCATGTGCTAAGTCTTGCAAGGATATCTTCCTATTTTGGTTGTTAACCTCTGAAGGAAAGTTACAGAAAGAAAAACACCTGAGTTCTTAATTGTGAAGTCATTCTGCTCCATGCCACTCACTATTGTCCTTTATTGAATTCAGAAAATCTGAATGAAAAGAAAAAAAGACTCAGGCTGATCAAATTATTTGTGAGAATTGCTTTTGTAGCACGTCTCTGTGTTTTTGTTATTGTTTTGTATAGGATTGTGGCTCCCACATATATTGGTGCAATTTTTATATCTTAAAGCGTTAAAGTATTCAAATCATAGGACTTTCATAATTGATTTTGTGATCATTCAAATTTTTTTTTTAGTAAACTTACAATAAGAAATGATCATATCAATGAGACAAATCGGGCGACAATATGAAAATAATGATCCAAGTCCAAATAGATATAAATCAATTACTTATATGTTTAGTTAAAAACTTTACGAGGCTATTTAAGAGATCAAACCATTTTCTAAATTTAGAGTCCTTATAGCCGAAATAAGCATCGCAACGAAATGAATTCGATTAAACAAAGTTCACTGAATTCTAAAAACATTTAGGCATAAAGGTTGATGCAAAAGACCTATATCTGTCTAAAGCCCTCCACTGATTTAGGATTCTATTAATTGCTTGTTACCAGAAGTTTACTTCTTTACTTCTTATATCATCTTTTTAGTACAAAATTTAAAATTTTGTACGAAAAACTGCTTTAAGAAACGATAAGAAAGTCGTCTCAAACGAGGTCTTAGACTTCATTTTTTTAGTGCAAAATTTTTTTTACCAGATATTTTTGTACTAATAAGTTATGTAATAAAAAATTTGTGTCAAATGAAACGTTTCAATTCTTATTTTTTTTTTTTTGGGACATTTAGGCCATTTAAGGCAAACTCATACACACAACGCATACACATAGACTCGACCCCTGGACCTCTTAGTTGGAAGCCTAAGCTCTCAACCAATAGGCCATGGAGAGTTGTATAATTCTTATTTAAGGAAAGCTTAAAGAATTAATTAGACATTTAATTTAATTGATGATTTAATTTGAGGTACAAGACAGCACTCTATCTTTATATAATAGTCTATAGTATTAAGAGTTTAAGACTTCTAACCTCTTATTGATAAAATCTGGGAGAGCGAGGTGAATATTTAAATGAAATTTGAGATAATTCATCGTCCTAATTGAATAAATTATAGATTTGTGAAATTATCTGACATTTTAAAATAGTAATTTAAATATAAATATGTAAAATACGTAATGCAACCTCCTCATTGCACGAGCACGGGCCAACGGCTAGAAAGACGAGAATAAGTTGGAAAGATGGTGTCGCCGGTGGTGAACACCTACCCTCTTACCAACTACACATTTGGAATGAAGGAGCCGAAGATGGAGAAGGACACTTCCGTCGCCGACCGCCTTGCTCGTATGAAGGTGAAGTAAGTTCTCTCTCTAAAACCCTAGCTTAGGGTTTCCGTTTAAACTCCTTCATACCACCGTGCCTTATTTTTATCTTATCTAATTTGTTTCTGGGCGAAGTAATACTAGAATAATCGAAACCCTAAACTATGATTCGATGCGGCAGTTTGGATGCTTGCCACAAAAAAAAAGAAAAAAAAAAAAAAAATCGATGCTTGCCACAGAGCTTCTTAGCAGAAAAGTTCGCACTTTTAATCTTTTATCATTTTCACCTTTCTTTGAGGATCCAAAAGGAGGTACAAAAAAAAAAAACGGTTTGTGAAAGTTGTTCCCATAAAAAGGCTTAAAGAAAGATGCGGGCATTGAAAAAGAAAACCTTGTGTCAAAACGACCAAAAAGATATGAGGAAACTGCAAAACAAATTTCAAAGATTTTGAATAATAAGTAGAAAAAGAGAACTCAAGAGCAAAAAAGTTTTCAGTGTTGTTTCTGAGAAGCCCGCAAAGGGCCCCACAAAAATGGGCAACGATAAGCAAATTCATACGTCCAGAATGTCCAACAGAAGGGGAAAAAACCTAAAACAAGTTATAGAGAAAGAATATGGAAATAACCAATGATAAGAGACAACGGAAGTTAAGATCATCTCCAACCAAACTAAATACCATTGTATGCCGTCCGCGAATTGCTGCATTCGAACATCAAATTTCACGCAAAAAATCGGTAGGTGAACAATGCAACGCTAATATTGGCATCAAATTGTTCACCTACGCAAAAAAAATGATTACCTTCGCACTCTGCTTAGCTTTGCAGGAAGCATGCGAAACATAAGAGAGATGGTTACCTTCGCAAAGAAGCGCATGAAAAAAGAAAAATGGAGTTCCATTGGAGATGAACTACCGCATTTTGATGTTTTACGACATTTTAGAATGGAAAATGGGGTTTTACGGAATGCTAGATGGAAATAACACATCCACCAAAATCTTCCAAAAGCACAATCAATAGATGTTTTCATTTTTTGTTTTCAATGCAAATTTTTTCTTTCTCTTGTCCTGAGCTCCCATATTCAGTCTCTGTCCTTAAGTTCTTGTTCGGTTTTGAACTGCCTTAAGATCTCCAACCCTGAGCCCCCATCATCTCTTTCTCATGTTTCACCAATGGCCCCACCTTGCAATCCCTGTGCTTTGTTTCTGAGCTCCCGTCCTATGCCCTTTTGAGTCCATTTGGGCTTAGTTCTCTCAAAATAAAAATAAAATAAAACAACTTATATTTAAGATATCAAACATATTTTTATTTTATATCAAACATAAACAAAAGAAAAACAAAGTAAATCGAAAATGTGATCCCAAATAGATCTATAAAGATAACTATATTAAATGTGTTGCATAAGGATGTGGGTCTATTAACCAAGAGGTTATTAGCATTTAGCTTTTTATATGAGTATGGGCAATGGTTGTGTGCTTTAAAAAATGGGTATTTTAGAGGATTTAAAAAAATACAGCACAACTTTAATTAACTGAGGGCCAATAATCTCCAAAGAATTTTGAACTTAGAATTGAACCCATTAGGGCTTGGAGATTTATCATTTCCCATAGCAAACACATCCTAGTGAATAGTTTGGTTTGAGAAAAGCTTAATTAAAAACTTTTAATTATATATTAAAAGAACATTTTCAACATGAGATTGAATGAAAGTGAGCACAATAAAAGCATGGTCTTCAATTTGTTTGTACAAAGTAGAAAAATAGTCAAGAACTTCGACAATAATGCTATTCATTGGGGAGACAATATTGATGGAAGAGTGGAGCTCTTTAATATTATTATGATTTCACACACTTTTAATCTTTTGATATACGAAACCTAAGTCTTCTTTACCTCTTAAGTGCTAGTTTGTTTTGGCCCTTTGAAAAATCCAATTGTATGCATGTATTCATTAGTATTTGCTTTGATAAGATTATCTTGGATGATTATTGTGGAAAGAGAGTTAAATAAGGGATTGGACATTAAGATCTGGAAAAATTAACTTTTTCAGCTTCAAGGTTATTAACAATTGTTGAAAGGTTACTAAAATTATTCCAAATGGTAATTTTGAGCTTGTTCTTCACCACTTTTAGCTTTTTCCAAAGAACATAAATAAATTCGTCATCAACAAGCCGACCCAACATAGTGGGATAAGGGCTTGATGTTGTTGATCAACAAACAAACCCCAAGCATGTTAAATGACATCCTTAAAACCAACAAAACCATAACAATAGTTCATAGACATGAATCTATGATAAGACTTTGGGAAAATCCCAATATAGAGGAGTAAACGGATTTGGGAGGCAAAGTCTTAAAAGAAAGAACATGAAAAAAATCTAACCAACCGTTTTTTACTGAAGCCCAAATAGTTTCGATTCTAAAATTTATAGAATTGAACTGATCAAATTATTTTACCAAACTGAATTGAATAGAATCGAACTTTATTTTGGCCAGTTCGGTTTGGTTCTGTATGAACCAAAGGTAATTAATTTTTAACAGTTAATCTATATGCCATGAACTTTAGCAGCATGTTTTATGAAGAACTCTAAATAATCTTTACTAAAATCTATAATCTTGTCATGTGGAATGAATAATATTCACATTGATTTTATGTCTCTTGTTTATTTTCAATTGTTATTTATAATTCATAAATTTTGTTGATTTAGTATTTGAATAAATTCGTGTAATATGGTTTCATTTTGATTGAGTTTACAAAAATAAAATTGATCCAAAAACCAAAGAAAATCAAAATTACAAATAATAACTGGACTGATATTTTAACGATTTGATATTTAAACAATTAAACTAAACAACAAAATAATATCTGTTTGGTTCGATTTTAACTAAACAATGCACGCCCCTAGATAGGGTTCTTAACTTGATTATTGTTCCAAGAGAAAGAAAGGCCCAAATTAGGAAGTCAATAATGCTTAATGCAAAAACACAATTGTTTGGAGAATAGAGATTGATCTCCTCGAATTTTTTCATGTAGCACTCTTATACAATTGAAATATCCCAGAATGACCCAAGTAGAATTAGTATTGGCAACCATATTCTTAATATACTCCCAAGGGTACTTCCTAATAAAGGTTGTATTGTTGAGATACAGCACAGTGAGAAAAAAATTCAATGTTCCTAAAACATTTGACAATGACATGAATAAAATAAAGATAAGGCCATTTAATCCAATTCTAAAGGTACTTCATCTTAGAGGCTACATTGCTGTGATATACCACAGTGAGAAAAAAACTCAATGTTGCTAGAAAATTTTAGAATGCCATGGATAAAAACATGATAAGGTCATATTGAATGTGATTGGAATTCCGTTTAATCTAAAATTTCTCACCAAATGCCCCTCCCTCCCCACACAATAGCGGAGAAGTTGTTGCAACTTTCCTTACTAGGATTAGATGTAAGTTTCTAAAAAGGAAGGCTCCGAAAGGAGATCAGAAGAGATCTTAGTTTCTAAGTGACAGACAAGGTTAATAGATTAATAAGATTCTTGCATTTAGGGATTCTATAGTCCCCCTAAATACTCCTAACATTCCAACAATCTAAGGTCTGGAAAAACGTTGGGCAACTTGGGATTGTTTGGGAGTTTTATTTGTCAGGGGGTTGGAAGAATTATTGACCTATCCAATGCTGCCAATATTTTCCCTAGGATGAATAGAGAAATTGTTTAAAGGGGGATGGAATTGAAGTTTGGCCTAAGGTGAAGTTATATAAAGTTTTGTAAGGACGTGCTTTGTAAGTAGGTATTTAGGTTAGGAAGGGCAATTGATTTAGAAGACCTAGCAGGGTTTTACAATTGCATCGGGGAAAGTAAATAGGGTTTTCAATTTAGAGTTTGGTCTAAATTTCCTCTAATTTTTGCTTCTGCTTTGACCGCTAAGAGAACCAGTTTTCTTAGGAATAAACTCATGATCAACATGAGAATTAGAGCATTCTTGAGTTTTTATGCACAAAAGTGTTACAATTAGAGCAACTATATGGTTTATAGCTGTAGACAAGCTCTTGCAGATATTCTGAAGTATATAGTTTGATAGAAGACACAAAGGATTAACTATCACACGTTGAGCAAATGTTTATCGCTCATTATAGGCTGTTAAGCTGTTGATAGTGAGAGAACACACATGACTCTTTTCCATAAGGATTCGGACAAAACAAAAGAATCCAAAATTTAACACACAAAGATTTCAACAAAACTGTCATCGGCTTGAAATCCCAGGATCATTTTTATAAAAGGTTTCCCATTGATGAACAAAGGATCACCAGGTTATGTTCTCTCAAAATCCTCCAAATAAGAGACAAATTTGACAAAATCTTTTGGATAATGTTAAGAATTCCAGGTTACATTACTCAGGTTTTATCATTATCTCTTTTTATATTAATATGGAATCAACTTGTTTAATAGTTAATCGGGTCATGTGGCTTTGCCGTAGGAATGTGGTATGGTTGAATTAGAGAAGTTAAAATCTTTTTTTCCTGCTTAACATTAGAAGTTTCATGTCCGAACCATCTCTTTGCTCAAGTCATAAGTTAGTTTTTCAACTTTATTAATTAATATTTTTCTCTTGTGTATCATCTTGTATTTGTGATCGTGGTTCATTATTGGATAAGTTTGAACTAAGGATTGTTACTCATTAGATTTTTTTTTTAATGCCACAAGAATGTGTGTTCCTGTTCCTTTTGATACTACTGAACTTCTGATATATGATTATTCAGCTTAATGTGGCGAGGATTGATTGTCTAAAGGAATAAAATTTATGTGTTAAACAATAAATATGCGTTCCAGTTGGACTTGTTTCTGGAGCTAGATTTTGCAGGCAAATAATATGCTGAAAAGGAGGCTTCTTCTATTGGCCAATCACAACGGGACAATGTTATTTCTCAGAACAATTTACATGACCGACAACTTGGGGAGCAAGTGTACTGTCGTCAGTGTCATGTTTCAAGGGCAAATAGATTCTAACTAAGTTACTTTGTTTATTTGTGAAGCTGGATCTAATCAGTTGCAGATTTTTTACTTAAAAATTCATCTCTTTAAGATTTTTTTTTTAGAAAAATATATGTATAAAGCTTTTTATTTTGCCTTTAAATCTTCTTGAAAGAGCTTTAATTAAAGCTTCTTGTAGTGGCTATTCTCAACGTGGCAATATGCTATTTCAGTATTTCTCAGAACAATTTACATGCATAGTCTTGAAGGGAAAGTCTACTGTCATGTGGCAAGGCAGAATAGATTTTAACTGAAATTCTTTTAGTTGTGAAGATAGATCTAATCAATTGGCGATTTTTTTACTTCAAAATTCAGCTCTTTAAGATATATATATATATATATATATATATATATATAAGAGAGAGAGAGAGAGAGAGAGAGAGAGAGAGAGAGAGAGAGCGAGAGAGAGAGAGAGAGAGTATAATATGTATAAATTTCTATATTTTATCTTTGAATCTACCTAAAGAGCTATAGTTAGAAGTTAATAAGTTCTTGGTGCCAACAGTTTTGTTTAGTTAAGTATAATCTTTGACATCTGAACTGTTTAATTTCGTAAAAATGGTTGCCTTTGATTTTAATGTTTTTTTTCTATGATGTAGCTATATGAAAGAAGGTATGCGGTTAAGTGTTGAGGCAATTTTACTGGTAAATTCCTAGCACTTATAAAATTGAATTCTTGTAACTTCTCATTCTGTGTAATATTTTCAGTTTTCACATTGTTTTTCATTTTTTGCAAGCTGTTGAATAAGGCATCTGTTTGAAGTTTTGGTAGCCATCCAAAGTTGTTGCCCCTTGCCAAAGATTTATTTTGGATTTAAGTCCTTTATCTTTTGTTAGTAATTGGTTCTTGAGCTTTGTTTCTTTGCGTTGATGTCATCTATGAAAATATTGATCTCTTTTTCATAAAGAGCTTTGAACTTATTTCCATTTTTACATTGATTAAATCAGACAGATAAAAAATTACATTAGTTTATGAAACAATCTTAATTAGTACCTTTTTCAACATAGATTAAAATATCCCCTTTTCTTCTCATTCTTCCATCATTTCATCATCTCTTCTAGATTAGTTGCTGATCAAAAGTCTCAAGCTTCCCTACTTATGCTCTCCTTTCCCACATTGACCCTAACATTGGCTGAGGTATGATTTCGCTTGACATTAGGAATTCTTTGAATTTTGACAAAGTTGAAAATAATTTATGTTTTAAGCTAACTCAAAATTTTGGCTTGCTCGAATTTTTTCTTAATCAACTTGATATGCATGCTCATACGGATGAAACTCATGCTCACACGCACAAAACACATTACCTATGTGCATAGTTATGTATTCTGTTTTAGCTATTTTAAAAGATTTAAATCTCAACTATGCCCTCATTTGATTTCATTTGGCAATTATAGTTATTTTCTTAATTGCATTTAATTGTGGGATGGAAATAAGTTGAATGAAATGGCTAGGATTTAACCATTTCCAGTGAGGAGTGAGGATTTAGAAGGGAGCTAAACTTAACATTTAGCATACATGTAATATCTCATTTTGGTCCCCTAGCTTTTACCTACCTCCAATTATTAAATCTTCTAGGGTACTTGGCACTAAATGAGTTCGGTTAGCTGGCCACATTCATAAAGAACTAGCAGTGTTGTTAACACCTGACTGTGTTGGCACATTCAATCATAAATAGAATATAAATTGATTCATTGTTGTTGCTTCTTAACCCATGAATGGAGCTAAATTTATAAAGAATTGGGTTATATATGTTAAACTTCAATCAGGATGGGCCGGCTGCTTTGCTTGAACCGGTCCCTAGTGAACCGGTTTGGATTTACCACCGCCGGCCCAAGCAAGGAGAGAGAGGGGGGCCGGCCACTCCTTTGGGGGCCCCACACCTTGAGTAATGCTTGTTTGGAGGAAAAATTTTGAATTAGGGGCTTTTTAGGGAATTTGTAACTCTCCTTTGTCTTTAATTAGGGGTTAATGTTAGAATTAGATTTTCATCTTGAATTTGAAAAGAGATTTGAGATCTAGGGTTTGCGTTCTTGGGCTCTAGGTTTGGCTAGACAATCTGATGGGGACATCGTCAGAGATTGCGACATATGTACCATTTGTTTGGAGGAAAAATTTTGAATTAGGGGCTTTTTAGGGAATTTGTAACTCTCCTTTGTCTTTAATTAGGGGTTAATGTTAGAATTAGATTTTCATCTTGAATTTGAAAAGAGATTTGAGATCTAGGGTTTGATTTCTTGGGCTCTAGGTTTTGCTAGACAATCGGAGAGTTGTTTCTTCCTCTCGAATTGAAGAAACGTGTATCTTTGCTGTTTTTCATGCTTCTTCTAGTGGAATCTTTCGTTCTCTCTCAGTTTCTTACTGTTTTTTTCCCAAGAAACCTGCTGGGAAGTGCTAATTTCCTGCTGTAAACAGCAGTTTGCGTTCTGTTTTCTTACTAATTTCGATTAGGTTTGCTTGCGAACTCAAGTATTACCTTAGGGTTACTTGCGAACTCAAGTACTTCCTATCAATCTTTTTGGATTTATTCGATCCTTGCAATATCATTTGGGTTCTAATTTTCCTATTTTCTTTTTGGATTTATTTGATCCTTGCAAATATCATTTGTGCTCTAATTCTCCTATTTTCTGGTTTCTACCTAATGAGACTGAAATTTTGCATACTAAATGGTCTTTGATCTTCAAATATCAATTTTCTTTGTGTGATCTAGATACATTGTCTTTATAGTTGCATTAAAAAATTGGGTCCCTATACCACCTTGCATTATGAAGCGTTGAAACCATCTGCAAGTGATATTTGATGCATTGTTTCTTAAGTTAATTAGTGCACTAACAGGTGGATTTATGTCTTTTATGTTTTGCAGGTTCAGGAGCACAATCATCCCCACGTACTGCTTCTGCAAATTGGTAATACTTTCTGCAAACTTCCTGGTGGACGTTTGAAACCTGGTGAGAATGGTGAGTTTCTGTTATGTAATCCTTAATTACAGTGATCTATTTCTGCTTTCTTTTTGTTTGCTGGTATTTTTAGCATTTTTAACGCTGGTGTGATGTGCTTCTACTATAGAAATTGAGGGCTTAAAACGAAAGCTGTGTAGCAAACTTGCTGTCAACTCACCTACCTTTCAGCCAAATTGGCAGGTATTTTTAATATTACTATGCATTTTAACGATTTTATGAATGCATATTAGATGAAGTAGGGATTAAAGTGTAAAGCAACATTAAAATTTAAGTTTTGCTTGTTGATTAATATGCTGATCACCTCTTTTAGGTGGATTTCAATTGTCACTCACCGTGCAAGGTTTGCACATAGTTGGCATGGTTGTCTAATCTGACATACTGTAGTTGTAAAATTGAAATTCTTTCTAAAAATCTAAGGTTTCGTTTGGGACGGCTTTTTTATTGCCTCTTAAAACAGTTTTTAAATAAAAAATTTTAATTTTTCTATTATTAAAGAACTGTTTTAAGAAGCAGGAAGAAAGCTGTCCCAAACAAAGCCTAAATTTTGCTGCTTCTACCCGTAGTTTGAATCTGGAGGCTGTCTTTTGATGCCTGGTCTGCGTGGAAAGAATGCTCTTTTTCATTGTATGTGTTCAACAAATTCTATCTTTATCAACCTTTCTTGGATTTATTTCTTATACATTCTCTTTCTGTGATGCCTAATAGAACAATTCTGATGCAGCGGTAGTTAAAAGTTGGAATCAATACTATTTGTTCCCTCTTTTGTATGAGCTGTCTGTGTTTTGCAACATTAAAGCTTTGCCTAGTTTTTTTCCCTGGAGAGCTTTAGTATGTTTTCATGATGACAGAATGTTATTTTCCCCGCTAAACTGTTGCATTGTTTGATTACATAACTTTATACTTTGGCATTATTCACTTGATACTTTCTTGCAAATGCAGAGTATTTAAGCTTTTTACCTGTGTTTAATTCAATAAAAATCTTCGTTTCTTGTAGATTGGTGAATGTGTTGCTATCTGGTGGAGACCAAACTTTGAAACAGTGATGTATCCTTATTGTCCTCCACACATCACCAAGCCCAAGGTGATTAGAACATTCATTGCTTGGTTATTGTTTTGTTTTTGTTCATAAACTTTTCTTGAGATTTCTTTTCCAGGAGTGCAAGAAACTTTTCATTGTTCATCTGTCCGAAAGAGAATATTTCGCTGTTCCAAAAAACTTGAAGTTACTTGCTGTTCCATTATTTGAGCTTTATGATAATGTTCAGGTATGAATGCCACTATTCCTTCTAGTGGGACTCTAGTTTTTCTGCTAGAACTTAATTTTTCTTTAAGAGGCTTCGTTCTTATTTAGGATTCTTACATAAATATGCCGGAAATTTCACGTATCATGTTAGTATTTTATTCTTCATCTTTACTCGTTAACACTTATCTTTGAAGTGCTATCCTTTTTAATTTCTTTGCAAAAGTACCTAGAAGTGATATTGTAAATAACCATAGCGATTATAGGATGAGGTCTAATTTTTAGTAAAGCTTATCATGTTACCATTTATCAACTCTATTGACCTCTGTGCGAGAAAAAAAAAAAAAAAAAGTAAAAAAAATCCCATTAAAATCCCAGAAATTCCGTACCCTGACTATTCGATGCTGCTGGCATCCCTTCTCCATGATTTATGTGGGAATTCCGCTCGATCATACTCAGTTCCCGACGTTAAAATGAGGCGGGTAGGGTTTTGTTCTGTTTCTTCTACACAAGCGAACCTGCACAAGCCCGAGAGCTTCTTCCTGTCCTCTTCTTGTTTTGGCTACCAGAACCACCCAAGCTTCCAGCACTTTGACCCTCTGCACCTTCGGACCAAACCAGTCGAACGCAAGCCATCCCTCACTCTTACAGCCTTGCCGAACTCCAGGCACTCAATCCACCTTCCTGCATAGCCGCAAGCCACTCACAGTCCCTGCCCTAACCGCAGCCTTTCACAGACCGGCCGAAACTCCTATCTCTGCCGATAGCACCAGTATGAGCTAGCCATCTCCAACCTGCCGCAAGCAAGGCCCGTCGACCTATCCTATCTGACCTCCTAACGCTGCTCCCGTCTGCAGCAAACCGATCTTCCT